ATGCATACATACAGGGTTAACCATTTAGCGGTTCCAAAAATGAAATAAAATTAAATACATAAACTTAATGAAATGATTAGGTTTAGTCTCGGCGAAATGTTATCGAAACGAAATAACATTCTTAATGCTGCAACTACCCAACTACTCTATTACTGAAGATAGGTTGCTATATCTTATGAGAGCGCCGTGTACGGTTGTGTGGTATTTAAGAAGGGCAGTTGCATAATGCTCAAACCATACGAAATCAACGTTAATGTTAATCTTAACACGGCTGCTTGTTGTGATTTAACAGCATGTTTTAATTTTAACATTTGACATTATCTGTTAACGATTGAACTTTGTCTGTTAGCGGCTGTCTGTTAATTTGAACATTGAACATGATCTGTTAACGATTTAACATTTACCATTATCTGTTAACGATTTAACATTTACCATTATCTGTTAACGATTTAACATTTACCATTATCTGTTAACGATTTAACATTTACCATAATCTGTTAACAATTTAACATTAATGCTAACCTTTCGTTTCAGGTAAAAAAAAATAATTTTGTTATGATTACTGCTCGTTACGATAACATTTCCAAATTTTTCAAACGAAACTTCAATTGAATATAACATGAATTTAATATGAATTTTATCGTAACAATGTAGCCTTAAATTAAAATAATTTTCTTCATGAAATTCATTTTTCTTAATATAAAATTTGAAATTATACGGGTACCTGTGAGAAGCATGATATCATTTAAATGACCTTCTCATGAATTTTTGCAAACTTCAATTCGTTTTAAGCAATTTTCGACCATTTTTTGGCACATTTTAGGCGGTATCATAGCCATAGCATACTGAATTTTGGTTTTCAAGCGCTCAAGTGTCAAAAGTTTATCAGTAGAAACACAGTCTTTCGCGTAGTCCCACAAAAAGAAAGTCCAACGGTGTTAAATCGCACAATCTCGGTGCCCAGTTGGCAACGCCTTGACGAAACTACAAACTATCCAAGTCGTCTTCTTCAGTTGTAGGTAAAAAAATGTCGGTGTCTCTGAATGGACAGTGAGAATCTTGCCGTTGTTGTTTTCAAGAAAGTAAAAACCAAAGTGCGCACCAAACAGCAGGTTTTTTGGTGTAATGGGATCTCTTCAATTATTTGCATTTTCTCGGAGCCCCAAATTCGAAAAATGTGTTCATTTCGTCGCTAAAGAAAATTTTGTTCGAAAAATAGCTCGTTGTCTTGCCGATTGACTGACGTATATGTGGCGTTGTGAATGGTCAGCTGGACTTAGTTGGTGCTTAAGTTGGAGTTTATATGGATGTATTTACAATATGTGTAAGTCCAAGTGCAAAATACGCCACGTTAAGAATGTGCGAGCTTTTGATTGCTTTTAGAAAGACACATTCGGATCTTCTAAGCGATCATAAATGCCTGGCTTTTAACTGAAACAAAACATGTTTGGTTTGACAGCTAAGTTTGTAAATATACAGCGTTGTACTTTCCAACCACATAATGGTTAACCCTATACTATACAGTGGTTGCATTAAAAGCGCTTTGGCATTTTCATCTTTCGCTCGCATTAACACCGTCATTGCATGCCGTTCATGCTAGTTGTTTTGAATATAATTCACTTTTTTTATTACAACTTCTAGGTTGTTTTTGTTTTGATTGCAACACTTCCCACAGGCATTTTGTAACTCGGTTGCTTTACATTTTTCCACTGCATGATATACTCATATGTATGTATGTATGCATGTTGCAACCAGCATAAAATAAGCATTTAGCCTTAGTGGCGGCACAGAAAACCGTTCTGTTTTGTGGAGTAAAATAAAAATTCTTGTGTTTAGTGTGGCAAACAAAATGCAGAAATTCATTTTTTTTTATATGATTTTTTTTATTTTTTGTTTTTTTTGCGGTTATGTACAGACATACATCAGCTTAAGTGCTCTCCCACATATTTTATGTTGGTCATGCAAGTAACGGACGCGTTTCAGTTAGGCGGTCACAGCAAAACTTTACAGTGGGCTATTGTATTATTCGTTGTTAATCTGCTAATTGACAGAAAACTAGTTTAGAAGGCACCAAGACTGCACAACTTTAATGCAGTTCGAAGACGAAGGTTAACTTCACGTCTTTGACACCTTTGGGAAGTTCATTAGTTGGTTGATTGAAAGGAGATCTTGAGCATCTGACCGCCGAACTTAAGCTATTGCGTAGGCTCATTGTGCAGACTAGCTTATCTATATAATCATTATTTACTTTTGCGAACAATTGTTTTAGTTTCTTCCACCCATGCGCATCAATCTCCATCTCCATAAAGCTGCTCCAGCGTTACCTCCTCCTCTGTCCAAGAACAATTAGTTCTATTTTGCTTATCGAGAGTAAGAGTTTGGTCTCTCTGTACAGTGCTCGCTGAACCGTAGTAGTTTAGTGATACGCTCTACGTTGGGGTTGCTCTAGGTTCTGAGGTGTTCCTTTAAGAACCGCTGCTTTAAACAACATTCGAAAGCATTTGCTAAAGAGTGTAGGGTAGACGATGGTGACCTTACCATAGACTTCAACATCTATCTGACTTGGGGTCCGAGTGATTTCAACGAAATCTTAAGTTGTTCTATTGTAGTTGTAGCGGTGCACTAGCCCCGCTTAGAGACAGATTTAATCAATCTAAGTCGCCGAGGTCATCAAATTTGAGGTACAGAAAGCGTGCTGTTTCGACGGGATTGGACCAGAGGGAGAGAAGGGTTAGATGTGTCGGCTTAAGGGGGCATGTGCTGAGAGGTGGTTAGTGTCGTGCAGAGACTCTCCACATGCAGGGCATACCTTGTGTATGCTGGGGTCGAGTTTGAATAGGTAGGAGTTTAACCTGCTCCAGTATCAAGACCTGAGTTGTGCCAAGGTCACGCGGGTTTCTCGAGTCAGCTCGAGCTCGTTGTCTGCAATGGGTGGTGTTATTTCTCTCAGCACGCCATTCACGGGAATGGAGTCTTTGAAGGTGTTGACTGACTCCTGGTGAAAGGTGTCCAGTGCTTGTCTGTTGTAATGAAATCTAATAGAATCCCAAATATGTTACCTGTTTCTAGCCATGAGTATTGTCCACAAACTCTAGTTGGAAATCAAAATTTTTATCGCGGAATTTGAAGCTACTTTGGTTAATGGGAAGGTCACAGAGGAACCTTGCCCATTTGCCCGTATTGCATTTGGATCCATTTATATAGATGTGGATATCTCCAGTATAACCGTTGGCCTTCTCTTGGGTCCACTCTTCCCTTTATCTAAGATTTCTGTGCGACTAGCTGTTAGTGCTGCTTTATATGTACATCACTTGTATGAATGATTGTTGTTGTTGTTGTAGCGTTTCGCTAACCTCGCTCAGGAGCAGACAAGATCAGTCGAAGTCATCGAAGTCATCGACCGGTTCGGACCAGAAGGAAAGGGGGTTAGAGGAGTTGGGGCATGCAAAAGGGTGGTTAGTGTCGTACGGGGACTCATAGCAAGCAAGGTCGAGTCTGGATAGGTAGGAGTTTAGTCGGTTACAATATCCAGTCCGCGGGACTCTCGAGGGAGCGCGGGTTATTCATCTGCAATGGGTATTGGTTTGACTCGGAGAACGCCATTCACTATAAGAGAGCTCACGAAGGTGTTGATGACCTCTCGGTAAATGGCGTTTAATGCCTGTCGCTAAGCCATCCTACCCAGCAGTTGCTGTAGGTGCTGCTGAATTCAGTCCTAAAAGTTGAGTATTATCTCTCTGATGTGCCTAGGTGGTGGTTCGACTGCTAGTAAGTAGAACGGTACGGTAGCATTCTAGCGAATATTGCTTACGCAGCTAAGGATTATGCTCTTTAACTCGTATCACAGACGCTTCGCTCTGCAATTGACGATCTGGCGACATCAATAGGTTTCCTGTCACGGATCTGAGGGAAGTGGTTTGGCAGGCTTGTAGAACCTTCAACTTCGTGTTATTGTTGTTGTTGTGGTAGCTGTTTTCCAACCCCGCTTGGGAACAGGCTCGTTAGTATTATTCATCGAGGTCATCTAAGGGGACTTCATCTTTCTTTCTTTAAGCGCTTCAGGGCGGTGTTTTAACAGGTTTAGAAGTTTAATAAAACTTCTTTAAACAAAGCGAGGAAAATAAGTTCTTTGACTTCGGAGCACATTTTAACTTATTCCCTTGGCGCTACCATTCAAGGCACGACACGGATAGGTAGCTGTCGGCTAATAACACCTCGGAGTGTAAAAACCATTGTTGAGATTTGTATAAAAATAGAAAAAAGGACCAATATAATAAAAGTGCGTTCAAGACCGGGCAAGATCGTTAGCCCTGGACTGGAAAATCGTTCATTCCTACGTATCCGGGGCTCAAGAATTTACCCGGAACGACTCCAATTAATACCCAAGCAAATACTGTCACTCGACAATATTAACCAAACACCAATTTTAACAATTACTTTGGATAATCCATGAGTTGAATACCAACTTTCAATATATAAGAATTTGTAAAGATCTAATTGGAAAATATGCACGACTTATTAGTATTACTCACAACCCACGATGAGTTACATCATTATGTCGAATAGCGAAGATTATAAGCAAACGCGATAATGGTTGATAGCTGTGGACTAGTAGTCCTGGTGCAGCAGTTTGGCAAATAGTCCTAATAAAAACGTCCATATACAAGCATATTTATATTTTTAAATACACTTTAATGTTTAGTTATCACTTTGAATGTAAACTATTTGCAAACACTTCATGCTTCGAACAACTGCTTTTTGACCACTGTAAGCCTAGCAAATTTGCCTTGAGCTAATTCTGGCTGCATACATACTAACCCACCAACCAACCGTGGTTATAGCCGTTTTAGCCGGAAGGTGTCATTGGACAGTTACCACACAATTAAGCAAACCACAACTTCAAAACAGAAAAACACTGAAAACTCACTATTTGTTATTGCCCGAGTTTGTCGGACTGCAATTCTTTTAATAAATGTTAGAAAAACCAAATATGCTGGCGGCATTTGCTTGTAAAATATTCAACTTCAGTTACCATCAACAAATTTTACAACGTCTGGCTGTGTTAATATGTCATTGCGTTCGAAAATTTGTATTTTTAATTTATTATTGTGGTAATCAGGCCAGAATATATATGTACATAAAATTTTCTCTAATTTATTTTTTTCAGTTTACACATTATCACACCTTGCATACATACATGTGCATACAGATGTGTTTATTAGCAAAAGACACAGATTAGAAGATCTTTATTCAAACTGATAGCTGCTCAAGTCGATTTCTTCTTCTGAAGTTCCATTACTATCGGAATCTGTACAATGTCTCGTCACTGAAGTTGTTGGCTGCATTTGCTCTTCAAAATCTACCATATAATGGTCATTTCTTCGTTTATATCTTTTGCTCATTAAGATTCTGCACTTTTCACATAACTTTTTACACAACGTAATTAGCGTGCGATGAAAACAGATGATATAATTGTTATAATAATCAATAATTGCATAGCTTATCTTTTACTTATTAAGCTAAACTTTGCACTCTAAATATAATATATTCGATTTAGTAAGTTTGTTTTTCTCATACCTCTTCTTTTTCCTCCGGTCTCTTTTTAGTAGATGGTGAGACAGCCGCTGCTTTTGCTTCTTCTTCTGACACCAAGCGATTGTATATACGAGTAGCCTCTTTTACGCTTACATTATTGCCAGGCGGATCAACATCTGAATCAATGGTATCCTTACTGGTCTTGCTGCTAAGTGATGTCGCCGAACCACCAGATGAAAATGAAAAACGTGGTATATTTTCCTTATTTTCTTGGTGGCTTTCTTTCGTTATGGCTTTTAACCGCTGCTCAACTTCCAATTCATGACCATCTTCAGGATTTTTCTTTGCCAGTGCAGTTTTTTCATGTTCAGCTAAAGCAGCTTTGGCTGTTGCACTCGTTACAGTAACAGTAGCTACTTCGACTTCTTCATCTGCACATACACATTCTTTATTGGGAGTTGTTACTTCTGGTGGTGGCACATATGGCGGTGGCTGTCGCACTGGCGATACAATAGCACTTTCCGATAGCAACGAAATGCCACCAGGACTGCCAGGCACTGTAGTTGTACCCGCAGCGGCCATTGCACGCTGAACGACATCATCTGGTGGTAATTCATTTATGTACTTTTTACGTAATATTAAATACTTTTGATTGTTTTCATTTTTTATTGTCGACAAAACATTAACATACACTTTAAACAATTTGCGCGCCTCATCTGTAATGGAAGAAGAGGAGAAAGAAAACAAATGGAATTAGAGTATGATACACATTTGACCAATTCACATGCAACAAGTGTAAATGATGTTCTTTTGCGGGGAATGTGTTATTTAGTATTCACTATTTAATACTAAATATTGTGCAAATTTGTCTATGACTCACTTTGTGTATCGGGTTTGGTGAGAAAGTGCTTGAAATGCTTAACCAACGCATGATTTGTCACCTTGGAATCATTGTTGAGCATGTAATTTCTAATTTCTGCAATCGACAACTCTGTTGGTGTTGTAGCCATGATTTAACACTTTTTCTATACACACACAATCGACAACCACTAATTTTAATATGAATTCCAATAGTTAAATTACTACAAAATAAGATTATTTCCAAATATTTTCACGCAGTTAAACAATCACGCAAAACAAAGCAAAGAAAAACAAAACTAAACAGATGACAGCATAAATGTCAAACACACTCAAAACAGAGAGCGCGAAATAACGTAGAATGAAGAAATGTGAGGGAAAACAAACAAAAGCGGACAGCAACAAGCGAATGAAAATGACAGCTGGCAGTGAATCAGCAAGATATGCGCCTTTGGTGGTATGGATGCGGTTTGGCTGAATTTATTTTAAACATTTGAAAATACAAAGTTTTTATTTGACGTTATATGAAATACAGCTGCTTTCTTAATAATTATAATATTTAGAACACCATAAAACTAAATGTATATATATAAAAATGCTGGTATAATATAAAAGAAAATAAAATTAAATATAAAAATGTATTGAAATTAACAGATATATAAATAAACACTATAAATTTGAATATAAATATAAATATAAATATAAATATAAATATAAATATAAATATAAATATAAATATAAATATAAATATAAATATAAATATAAATATAAATATAAATATATAAATAAAAATAAAAATATATATATGAATATAAGTATAAATTTAAATAAAAATAAAAATATAAATTTGAATATAAATGTAAAGATTAAAGTAATAGCATAAAAGGAAAAAAATTGTATATAAAAGTAAAAAATGTATACGTTTGTTACGGTTATGGATCCGCTACGGCATTATGATATGGCACCAATAATTGAAAACAGTGTTTCCCTTTAAGTTCGGTCGATCAGCAGCTTCTTGTAGTTATGGTTATGACACCTTAACATCGATTTCGAATTAACATCAGTAAGGTGGTATATAATATGGATGGTATTCTTATAAAAAAATATATTTGTAAAACAAGTAAAGAGGCAAGAATTTAGAAAATAAAAATACTTATTCAGGCATTTTATAATTTCTTTTAAGAAAACCTTGATAGAAATTTTCCTGCCCCTTTCTGCTGATAAGTGCTCATTCAACTAACTCCTCACCATAACCTATAACCACCTAATATTTTTAAAATATTTCTCAAAAATAGAATATGATGTGGAGCAATTGGCAAAAATTACACAAACGTTAATATGAGCTTACGAAATATACATATGTACGTATGTATGTATGCCACCAAAACCAGTTTCTTCTTCTCACATCCAAGGCTCCCAATTAAATTCAAAACACCAATTTGCCAATCAGTACGGCAACACGTGCACTCGAACAAGCGCCAAATTAAGTTGGAATTTTGCAAAATAAAAAATTCGAAATATATACAAAGGAAACTAAAAGGAAATTTTTAAAATTTTTATGAAAAATATGAGACATGTGCGAACAAGCACTAGGGTGAATCCTGAACGTTTGGCCGCAACTAAATGTTGGGTGGCATGTGTACGAGTATTCACATTAAACTCGGAAACCCATGCAGCACCGCACTGTAGAGGTAATTAATAATTTCCGAATGCCAGCAAATCAATCTATGCCCCGCACTCGCTGTCTCACTAAGTACACGCACTTGAAATTTTCATTAACAAGAGCATGAAGGCCTCTGACTGCAGTGTATGTATGTACTACAGCGCAGGCAGAGGTAGAGTTACGGTTAAGAACTAAAGTTGCAATTGTCAATTGCAACGCCTCACTTTGCCACACACAACGCAAATTAATGCATTAAAATTAGATTTATACGTGATGAGGAGAAAATGGTGAAAATGAATGCGTGAATGCAAATTAATTTGACGTCGTAAGAAGGCCACATCCAAGACGCTGCGAGTGAAGTCGCGGTTCGAGGTAGGGTAGCGCATTATGTTGGAATTCACCTAAGGAATTCATCAACTTGCTGAAGTGTCGCGCAGTTGGGTTGTTGGTGGTCGCTGTTGGTTGATTTGGATGGCGGATGCGGTTCATTTGACATTTTGTCAGGCGACAAGTGCGAATGCGGAACATATTCTCAGTGACTGGTATGAGATACACTACACACGATACATATGGGGGAAAATTGCAGAGCAAGACATAAAAATCTTGTTAGAGCTTGTGCGAATTAAGGTGTTTATAAAAAATATTTGCGCTAAACTGCAGTGTGTGAGACAAATATAGAGATATAAATGAGGTAGAGTCAATCCTTCTAGGGGTAATTGCTTAGAGACATGCATCTGTTCTGTTCTAACACGGAGATATTAGTTGTGTATATACATAAATATAGTTGCGTCCCTCTACCTCTAGGCTAACCATTGCAGTGTGATCATCGCTATATTGAGGAGTTTTCTTCTTGGTTTATCATTCTGACCCCACGTATCCTGTATTAGGATTCCGTCAGTTCAGCAGTTGCTCCTCTTTGGTTTTACTTGCATCTCCATGACCTTCTTGAAGTTTGCCCACCTTTCGTTATCAAGGAAAACCTGTTACGGCTATGTAAACTAACATTAAGCAACATAAAAGCTCCCTCAGGAACGGGAAGGGCTACTCCGAGTCGTTTGACATCAAACGAGGTTTCAGACAGGGTAATTATTTGTCTTGTGACTTCTTTAAGCTACTGCTGGATAATTTCGTCTATCTTGGAATCTTGACACCAACAACAATGTTAGCCCAGAAATCAGCACTCTAATCCAACAGGTGCTACTTTGGACTGAGTAATCAATTGAAAAGTAAAGTCCTTTCCCGAAGAACAACTACCAAACTATACACGTCGCTCATCATTTCCGTCCTGCTATATGGTAGGGATACATGTACGATGACAAAATCTGATGAGTCGTCATTAAAAGTTTCCAATAAAAAGGGTTTGCATAAGATTTATGGTTCTCTACGAGTTGTGAATGGGGAATACCGCAGCCGATGGAACGATGAGCTGTACGAGATATACGATGACATTGCCTTAGTTCAGCGATTCAAGAAACAGCTGCTACGCTGGCTAGGTCATGTCATTTGACTAGATAAAAATACTTCCAGCTTTGAAAGTATTCGAAGCGGCAGCCGCTGGTGGAAGTTGAGGAAATAGAAGACCTCCACGCAGTTTTGAAGGACCAGCAAGAGAAGGTCCTGGCTTAACTAGATATTTCCAATTGGCACCAAACAGCGAAGAGAACAAACGAATGGCGCAATTTTGTTAGCTCGGCTATAATCGCGTAAGAAGAAAGTCACGATACGAAGTATGAAGTGTCCACCTAAGCGAATGGAGAATATTCTAGATTAAATTTTGATTGTAAAAAACCCTGCTTTGCTTTGATAAGCTCAAATGAGGAAGAACCACCTTCAGTTGATTTTTTAAACAATTAAAATTGTTTGATTTTTATTAAAAATTTTCCAGAATTTCATTTTTCCATCAATAAATTGTTTAAATTTAAAACAAATCTACAACAACAACAACTTTTCTTAGTTTTATCATTGCCGTCATTTCCTTAGATACATAATTACCAAATACAATAATTCATTTGCATATCCTACTTGCCAAGCTGCCAGTTGCAAGCAACGACATAAGCTCAAGACGCCATCAGCAGGCGCAGCAGCAGCAGCGTCACCCGGTTGCAGACAGGCAACAACATTCGAACGATATTTGCTGTGTGAGAAATGCAACTGATAGACGTAAACACACAATTTACATACATACATACATACATACATATGTGTGTATATGTGTGTGTGTTTAATGCAAGCGCATCTTTGCAATGTGGCAGCTTTTGAAGCATTTCCTGCGTCAGCCTACCAAAAGATTGCTGAATTGAGTGGAAATGTTGCTGCAGTTGATTGTGAATACATATACATATGTATGTACACAACGTTGTTGCTTTTGTTGCTACCCTGCGCGCTGTAGGATGATAAACGATGACATTTCGAAAATCAGCAAGACGACACAATTGCATGTGGCAAATTGAAAATGAAATTAACACTTTATAGATACTTTATGTTGCAGTGTTGCCACCAACACTTTAAGCACGCACACACAGTAAGCCTGTTGTACATACGTACATATGTATGTATGTGTAAGCAATCTAACTGCCAATGTCTTATGCATTTCCTACGGATGTCGCATGTCCTTTGCAGACAGACGACGCCGACGACGACGACGACAAAGCCAGGCATTTCAAATTAATGCTGCATGCTTAATGCATAGTACATCATATGTGTTGGTGTGTGTGTATGTTTATGTGTGCATCTTCATTTTGTGAAATTTGTAAATATTTGTCAAATGGAAATTGTCATTTGGAGCTTTTCTCAGCAAATGCTCGTATGGGGAAATATATTATATATATATATATATGTGCATATATGTATGTATATATGTAGCAGTTAACCATGTCAGTGCATCTAATTGAAATGGTTCAATAAACAATATAATACTTGTTCATGTTGTAGTTGTTATGTACAACTCTTAATAGAATTTACTAAATACAAAATTCATTTTATTTGAAAGAAATTTCATTTGAGAGTCAAAGAGACTGATGACAGCTGCTTGTTTATATATACAGTCGAAATTCCATACCTCGAACTAAAGAATTAAATAATTTTTTTTGTTAAAAAAGCGTTTATGAAATGGTGCATACATATATGTATATACTACATATGTACGAGAGAATCAACAAAAGTTTGGTCAATTGGTGACTTTCAATTTGTTTTTGTTGTTTTTTTTATTTAATCTAAAAATACCACATTTGCTATTAGTTTATTAGTCTTCCTCTCAAATTTTAGTACAATCGGCAAAAATGAAGACAAAAAAATGCAAGACAACTGAGGATAGGTCAGACGAAATTCCACCTCAAACGCAAACTAAAATTCATCATGTGCTTCTCTTCGGGTTTCGGCGTAATTTACAGCCAATATAAATATTCAGAGAATGCCAAATTGTATATGGAACGATTTCACAGTCTTTAAAGACTATATCTAAGTAGCTTCCGTTAAGGACGACCCCCGAGAAGGTCGACCAAAACCTTCCACGGATAATGTCAGTGTAGCTCTGGTGAAATCCAAAATTAACGAAGACATATGAGTACGCTTTACACAAGAAATGATTACTAAAGAACTGGGTTTGAATGCCAGGGCTGTATTGCGAATATTAAGTAATAAACTGGGATAGACAAAGAAATCTGTTCCAGAAGGTTCGAGTGCATTTTGCTCATTTTTTCCTAAACAAACTGGAAAATGGTCAGTCTAGCAACTTTGGTAAAGTCGTT